ACCCCTCACTGACAGGAGCCCTGATATATATATATTATACTAATTACTAATAATAATTATCGCTAATAACTACTTCTACTACTACTAATGATACTCTCTGGAGGAGTACTAACACATGTAGTTTTAATAATGAATGTCCATATTTATTTAACAATAAATTAATAATGATTATTAGTATTATTATTGATCGACACCAGCTCTCCGTCTGTTTCATTAGAAATTCAAACGGTCTCCAACCAATGAACTTCAGACATTGCAGTGATGTCAAAGACAGGGGGAGGGGTCAAGAGGTCACATTAATCTGGTCTGGCAGATCACAGCTGACCTCACGTGTCAGAGGTCAAACCAATTGTCAGTAGCCAATGAGGCCTGACCCCAGTCTCTGTGGAAATGGCCACTTGGGACGTAATTGTACCTGACCCCCCATTTACCCGGGACAGCCAGGTTACCATGGAGACCATTCAGACAGGTGAAGGACAGGAAGTGGAATAAAGTGCAGGTCAGAGTAAGGTCACAGCTTTGATCCTGTTGATTAATCGATTTATTAGATATCAGAAGATACAGCAGGGTCACAATATCCACTCCACCTTTCATTTATTCAAGTGTCTGGGTAGCCAAAACAAGCGCTCCTCATCTCACTAAAACAGATTTTAAATTAGATTTTAATCTGATGTTATTATAAATTATAAATATAAATATTTACAAAAAAATTGAAATCATTTCAATTCACACACACACACACACACACACAGGCACAATGATGAAGATGAGTTCAGGGAAAAGGAGGAAGAGGAGCAGTTTGTGTTTCATCCTGAGTATTTTCCTCTACACAGACCTACAGGAACTATCTAACCTATGGTTACTATGGTTACTGCGGTAACTATGGTTACTGTTAGTACTACTGACCTCTATCTAACCCCAAACTCTTATTTAAGATTTACAACTGTGCAAATGTGCACAACAACAATTACAATTTATGATAAATATATATTTCTTTTACTGTTCTGTGTCCGTCTCATGGAAAGTGCAAATATTCAAAGTACAAAAGCATATCATCAGCATATTAAAGATAAAGTCCTGGAGTGTCTGTATGCATTCATTATAAACAATTAATTATATTATTTTGTTTTTTAATAGATAATGATGAATATGAATCCCCAGAATTTGTTACAATTGTTATAATGAATACATTTGTTATAGCGCCCCCTGATGTTCAGCTGGTATTTGTTCTTTAGTGCAACAGAACAAGATGAATATTTCCAGTTGGTCAGAGCGCCCCCTGGTGGCAGCTCTCTTTGTGATGCATTCAGGACTTGTGGACTGGTGGAGCTCTGGAAGAGTTCTGTTTTTTGCAGACTTTTTTGTTTGACTGTTTAAGTGTCCTGATTGAAATAAATATGATTATTGAAGTAAATGTGGTTAATGAAGTACATGTTGAACAAAATATTCTGATTGTAGATAATCAATGATGATCAATGCTCAGGGACTTCATCCAGAGTTCTTTACTGTTTGAGATAATTACTGCCATCTACTGTGTGTCTGTGTGTGTGTGTGTGTGTGTGTGTGTGTGCTGTTAGCTCTGTTAAACAGGAAAAAGCTGGTGATCAATATTACAATATACACAAATATAGCTCATCAATAACACTAATCAATAAATAAACTTGATTATATGAACACAGTCCAGCTGCCTGATGTCACAAGAGTCTGTGACCCTGTGGAAGCAGCTGATTGGTCGAGTCCAGTGATTGGTGATTGGAAGAGGGGCAGGGCCTTGCAGACTCTCCACTTACAGGTCTCCATCTGATTGGCTCCACAAATCTGTGTCCTGCACTGTGATTGGCTGGTCTGAACTGATCCACTGGTTGGTTAAATCTGGTCCTGATGCAGAATAAAGCATCTGACTGGAATGAAACCACGAACTGTAGTTGGATAAGTTAGATCCAACAGAGACTCTGTCTGTCAGTCAGTCAGTCAGTCAGTCAGTCAGAGGTTGGAGGACTGTTTGATGCTGTGGAAGGACACTCTGCTCGGTGAGGTTGGAAGTGATGTAGCGCGCACCGCCCGGCTTCGGAAGGAGTGACGGTCCTGCCAACGAATCCAACGCTTCCTGACCGCAGAGCGCACCTGCAGACAGACAGACAGACAGACAGACAGGTTGAGACACTAAAGTATGTTGGTGTGAGTCTGCATTGACTGCACTTATACAGCACTTCTCAGTACAGGTCACATTCACCCATTCACACACATTCATTGACTGTTTGGGGTTCAGTATCTTGCTCAAGAACACTTCAACATGCAGCGAGAGGAGCCAGGAATCGAACCGCCAACCTTCTGATTAGTGAACAACTTACTCTAGCTCCTGAGACACAACCAGTTTAAAGATTAGTGTTGGGCAGGAGGGCATTACCAGTTATAATAATACAGTAATGTTAAGTAACTAGTAGTTTAACTAATTACTAATAAAAGTAATAATATTACAGTTACCTTCTAATTAAAGTTATTAGTTACACTACTTTTGTTGTCTCCTCCTACTGATCTGAAATCCAGCAATTAATCACATCCTTAGATTCACTTTTGTAATCATGGAGGAAACTAGTTTGGAAGATGGAAACATTCAGGAGCTGGTATATTCCATTACTTTGATTTTAACAATCAAAACTGGATTTTAATTATCATCAGTGTCAATTTTGTGCAGAAAGGACACTATGTGAAGCATAGCTAAAAAGTAATGTGTAAGTAATATTATATTCGAAAAGAGTAATGAGTAACTAGTCCAACACTGATAAAGATAATTAAAAATAATAACAGCAAAATGGGTCCGAGTTTAGAAACGTGTGGAACACCACAGACACAAAGGTGGAAGAATAGATAATAGTAGAACAGAAGCGACAATTACCTCACTGTTGAGAAAACAGTAGAAAACTGAGACAAAAAAACCCTGTAGAGACAGACAGAGGAAGAGTGTTAGCTGCTAACTGTGCTAAAACTAATTAGCTTAGCTCAGATTCAGGTTAGAGTTTAGGGCGAATTTTAGGGCCACTTGGAAAGGTCAACAGAGATCAGACGAACCTGGAAGGACTCCAGAATGGAGTTGAAGTAGATGAAGACAATCTGAGCAACTTCGTCTTCTCCTCCAGGATTCACAAAGAACAACATGTAGGTGATTCCTAACAGAGGCAGCAGCACCAGAGTCGCCTTCACTGCCTTCCTACAGAAACAACACATATATCACAACAACAGGATTCAACCTCACTGTCTACAACATGTGACTGACAGCACAGTCAGTGGACTGGATGCTTCTCTTAATACCAAATACCAGCAGGTACAAATGGGATTCACATGGGATGTACATCCAAATTACTATTGATTGATTCTGATTGGCTGCAGGGTGGGAACTAATTCCGGATAATGGACACCCCTAACCCTAAACCTCAGCTCGTATGCCTTTGATGTCTTAGTAAGTCTAACTGTATCCAACTGCATGTACATCTGCAGGTCTGATGTTTTATTAAGTCTAACACTGACTTATTTTCATACTGATAACAAATAATATCACACAAGGAAAGCACAAATTGTACAAACTAAGTTAAAAAAGAAACTGCGAGGGGGTAAAGGTAAGTGTTACTGGTCTGCAAGAGACAGTGGTCTGTAATGATGCTGTATTCCATAATTCATCGTCACACTAAGGATTCAGTTCAGTGCAGATAACCTGCAGGTCTCCACAGAGCCTCCGACATGGTATCTGGACTGTTACAAAGAGTTACATCCTTCCAGCTGTACTCTCTCTGTAGTCCTGACTTTGTAGTTGGTTAGTTGTGTTGTTACATGTTTGTTCACCTGTTTAAAGGTACTTCTGTATTGTACTGTGAAGTAACTCGTACCTGTACTGGATGGTCTCTGAGGTGGTAGACGCCCTCAGTTTGGTCATCAGGATCCGAACAATGTTGAACAGGAAGACAAAGTTAATCTGAGGAGAAGAAGAGATTGGTGTGACTGACACTGGCTACCAGCAGTCTCTTTCTAAAATCAATTCAATTCATTTCAATTAAATTTTATTTGTATAGCGCCAATTCATAACATAAGTTATCTCAGGACAGATTTCAAATAGAGCAGGTCTACACTGAAATCCTTATAACATTTAAAGAGACCCAACAGTACCACCATG